TACTCCGCGCGAGATGCTGATAATACGTTTTGTTCAACAATATCTTTAGGCATAGTATCATATCATGGTCGTCTTGCATGTAGCACACATGCTGTGACCACCGCCCGTTCTACCTGATAGTTACAAAACACACAATAAAAAATACTTTTTCGGAATGGATAGTAATTGACAGTTTTTTTTTTTTTTTTTTCAGGTGCTGTGCTTGCTAGCTGCCTTTATGACATCTTGAATATCGATTCAACTATAAAGTTGAAAACGTTAAGCCCATCAGCACGTATTATCCACCAGGGTCGCAATATTGTACATTAATCCGTCCGTGCAGACGAGTCCGCGCATCTAAGCAGACTATAAACATACTGGTTACATATCATGATCCATTCAATTCCTGGTGAATTGCCACTTACCACGTATTGTTCCATGGTATCGGGGCGAACTGGGGTAGCAGTGATCTACGAGAATCTGCGGCAGGCCGAAGGGTATTTTGCCTCGCACTTAGTTCTATGGACCCCGTCGCACTGCCGTGGCCCGCTCTTCCATCGCCACTCAGTAAATCCGTTCATCAGCTGATTCGCATTATCTCTTGCTCTTTTCCTAAGCTGTGCCCCGCTTTAAACCTGTTCCAGTCCTCTACCTCCTGGACTGTGGTCTTCTACAACACGAGGTAAGCTAGGTTCATGGGTAAAAAGATGCGAGATAGCATATATGACCTCGCAGGCGTGAAAACAGTAAATGAGGTCGGTCAGACCCACACACATGTCGTGTTTCACACTCAAGCACACATACACACACACACACACGCAGATACATTGGCGGATCGGCACAGCTCACTCAGAAGTGCCATTATCTTGACGAGGTACGGAGAAGACATCAGCAGCGTGCCGTCCTGCTGCATCAGCCACCAGCGCGATTTCCTCATCGAAATTTTGTTGCGTAGACCAGACGATTTTGCCGGCAGACTATGGGTGTCGCTACTCCACGCCTTGTTTTTTTTCTTATTGGCAGGTGCACGATAGGCTACTTCACGATAGTCACAGTCGGTATTGCCGATGCTATTGGTATCTGCGTAGTTCCAGCTATGACGGTCAGTGCCAATGTGAGTCTGTGAAAAATCGACTGCTGGGAATCACGGTGGGTGTAAACATTCACTCATTTTGCCGTAGTCGCATGGTAATAAGACGAAGCACTACCTATTCCGTATGGGTAAAATATAGCTAGGCTGAGATTCAAGGAATCGTCACTGGAATATGATGTAAGAACAATGAGAGCGGCCAAAAAACACTGTCATATTTCAAGCTCCGTACGTAAAGGATTTCGATTTTTCTATTATGGAAAGCTGATACGATTATTAAGTGATAAGTTTTAATGTTGTCTTGTACCCATTAAGGTAGTTCTATATAAAGCTAATCAAAGTAACCGTATATATATATATATATATATATATGTGGTTTTTCTAAAACTTCCTTATAACGGATGTATGATATATTGGTTCAACGAACTAGCGCAATTTTCTGATCCGTATGATTACTGATCATTGCTAATCATTAGCGTAGCTTGATAAACTCTCTACGGATACTATGCATCAAGTTGAAGACACCATTTATGATTGCCAGTAGGTATTGCTTCTTTTAAAGTATATACTATTTATACTTGCACGGACGGGCAGGTAAAATCAGCGCTTTGAGGAATACGTATGATTATGTTCGTTCATCTTCAACTACTTTATTCCAACTGATGTTCAAAAATCGCCTGCTCATTTCACTCCAAAAGCGTATTCTCAGCTGTCTATTAACAGTCAGCCCCGTCAACGCGTGCATATTGCAATACCTAATTGTGTCGTAATAATTTGCTTGATTCAGGAGTTCGCAAGCACAAGAACACATCGATTTGAGTTCATCTCACCCAGATCAGAGCTGCGTGCTTTCTGCCTGGCTCCAACTCCCTATTGTTATCGTTTACTCTGTATTTTTGGGTGAACCAACCTTTGTTTAAACAGTGCACATTGCAGACCAGTGAAAACAAATAAAAACACGTTTGCCTACAGGTAAACGCTTCCAAGTATTGCTACAAATCGTTGCCCAACGTAGTTGTCTATTGGACAGTTTTGCAGTTGCCGGCATACAATATATTCGCCTTCTCCGATTGGCCTACTAAGGGGAAGTGGTCAGCCATTTAAATGCGTACGTCTGCTCCTTGTGCGTGCTAGTGTTTGCTGATACGCGGACGTTACGCCGCCGTCGAGCTAATACTTACCATCTAGACCTTCAAAGTTTGCCAATCTTAGAACTACTTCTATTTAGCAGCAGCAATGGCAGTAGTGGAGCCTTAGATGGGGTCTTTCGAACTGTCGGAGTAGAGCTTGGAGCGCAAGCTAAGCGGGGGCTAGATTCGAACGGCCTAGGGGCAGAAAACCGTCAGGACGCGTTAGGCTCGAATCATGAAGAATGGTGGTTCTGGAAAATCCAACGACCTTTCCCCGTGCCCTTATCAATGTGTGCCTTCTTTTCGGGCGTCCCCACTGTAGTTTCCAGGGCGACTGCTGCCCATTGTCCCCCCGCCACAGCTCCAATTCGTGCCGGGTCGGCTTGAGTCGGCTCAGGGTGTGTAAGTCAGTACTCTCGTTGTCGGTCGGACGCAGCGACCCGAGGGATCTCTTGCCCTCCTTCCTTTTCAAACCTTTTTTTCGAAAAAAAAAAACTTTGTGCAAATCTATTACAAGTATTGTATTTTGCTATTTCTATCTTTACGCCTTCAGCAAAAACAACGCTCGCTCATAACTCTTTGCTTCATCAGATTTTCCAGCTAGCAATTTACCTCGCCTTCTGCCGAGGCCGCTGTTACGCTATTGATTTGTATCGTTTCTGCTAAGGCAAACTAGTATGTCAGCTAAGAGTTGAATTTGTAATACATGGAGCAGGAGCATGACTACAACATAGAATAGTTCGGCTGATAATTCGTTCGCTGTAGTTCCGGATGCCCCTGAAATCCCTAATCCAACAAGGTAGAAGTAGCACATCTAGATGCTATAGTCCCTCACCGCCGCAGCTGAAATCTTGCGCTGATCACATTAGCTGGTTACACAAAAGCCAAATGCTAAGTTTGGGACAGTGTTACTCGAACAAGGTGGCTGGTGCCCTTAGTCGAAGTTAGCGGCAAATCAAGCAGAAGGACATTCCAGCGAAAGAGTTCAGAAATGTTGGACCCCGCCGTCTCGTGAGAGAGTGCTCAGTGCCAACGGTAGTGGATAGGCGTAAGGGCTGCCTAGTAGCGCCAGGCCGATTCTGGATCGTGGCGGCCCTCGCCACCGTGCCTGACACAGAAAAAGCTGGGAGCCGAATCAAACGGGCCGTTGGCTGCCGCCGCAGCCGGCACTGTCAATCCATCTCTCTTTCCTGCATTGCTTTCTAAGCAAGACAAAAAACAGTCGGAGAAGTTCGACTTCCTGACACAGGACGCCAGTCACGGCAACAACGGCGGCCGTTTAAAGGGAAAACCTCTTCTTCCAAAGAAAGAAACAGTCCGCGAGGGCGGCTGAGAGAAGGACAGAGGCAGGACGCAGGAAAAAGAGACCTTTGCTCTTTTTTCCTCCGTGCTGCTCACACGTGTGGTAATGGATGCCCCTGGGGCAGCCCCCAAGGGGATGCCAGATTTTGTTGGCTTGATGCGTTGCCAGGGGGTGCTACGAATGGGAATGGGTAAGCAAAGGTTGCAGTGGTGGCAGCAGCAATAGCAGCGGGGATAGGACAGGGGGCAAAAGGAAGCTGGTCGTCGTCTCGACGGATTCCCAGCCGGAGTCCGGACGCAGCACGAGAACCAAACAGCTTCATAGCGGACTAAGTTGAGGGGGCGAGCAGCATTGCTACCCAAGTTGGAATAGATTGTTGGGGCGGGCACGACTAGAGGGAATAGACAAAGATTCCAAAGCTCCCTTCGTCCTCGTCATCGTCGTGGTCCAGCCAAGCCAGCTAACCCTCTGGAGTCTATCCAGCGACAGCGGGCCTGTCTCTATTGGCGTTCTCCTTGGCCGCGCTTCTCTCGATGTGCCCCTCACTGTAGCGGTAGCTGACATTGGTCGTGCTGCTAGCGTGCTAGTGCGTGATGGTAGTAGATGGGAGTGCGTCGAGCGAGCCTGCTGAGGCCAAGGCAGCGGTCGAAATGGGATGGGCGCGAGAGCTCTTCACTTGGGTCTCTGCTGCCCTGTCCCGCCAACAACTCTACAGCAAAGAACACCCCGGTCGTTCTATCGTGCTGCTAGCGAGTGTAGGCCAATAGAGACGGGGGCAATTCAGCAGCAAGGAACCCAAGCGGCAGCGACGGCGGCGGCGCTATGGGCTGCTCAGCAGAAGCAGGCCTGTCTGGCCTACGTACGTACAATGTGGACAAGTATTCCGTTTTAACAGCAGCGTAGGCAACTATCAGTGCCAGCACTGCAGACGCGGGCAGCACCAGCACATCACTAGTAAACCAGACGGCAGAGTGCCAGAAAGAACAAAGGAACGACCGGATGACGCGAATGAAAAGACCAGCCAGCCAACCAACCGTCCCCTGAGCCATGAGTGAGCCTGGCTGGAGCAGCAACGAGCAGGCGCTCGTGAACCACCACCACGGCCATCGCCTCCGCCATCCAGCAGCCCCCAGTGAGCGCGCCCCGTAGACATATTGAACTACTGCCGCCATCGCTAGTACCGCCGCTGCCGTCGGTTAGGCGCCAGCGGCAGCCGGGCCCGCCAAGAGGCGGCATCTGGGCGGAGCACCCAACACCCGCTCCGCCCCCCGACCGCGGCGCCTCTAGCGGCGCTTGTGCGAACCTCACAGAGTAATGGCAGCCAGACAGTGATGAGCGCTGAAAGAGCGCACATCGTGTGTTGTACCGTAGTGTTTGTGTCGATCGTTGAGCTGAGTTTGGGGCTTTCGTGCTTGCTACCCAGCCAAAGCTGTAAAACGGAGCGATATGGGAATCACAGCAAAATAGGCAAAAACAGCAGAGGGCACCAGTCTAAATTAGCCCTTTTGTTTGTAAAAGAGGTAAGACCAGATCTAATATCTGCTTGTTCGCCTGTGTGTTACACCGCGTTCTCTTCACGTATCGCACAGTAATGGTATTAAAATACGCGGCGATATTGAAACGTCTCTAATAGTTTCGCGTTATCTCGTTGCGCGTTTGGCGCGGTCGAGTAGTGGCTCGCAGTGGATTGCGTAGTGAGTGTTGGTCGCCGCCAGCCGTATTTCAAACAGCAGCCGCGCTTCTGTGAAGAATTATCACAAATCGAACGCGAAGTACACGCAGAGCGAAAAAAATAAGAGAGAAACGGAAAAAGCAGTGTATGTAATAGGGAAGGCTCTCAGTAAATCGAAGAAAGTCGCCCACAGTCGAAGAGAATACACTGTGCTCTAGAGATCGTTTAAGATCATCTTTTTTGTGTGTCTTTGTTGTTGTAGTCGTTACTGATGAGTAGGCATACTGGTTGATCACACTGTTGTCGTCCTCATTGGCTTCGTTGTGTTTGTGAGTTGCGGTCGTTGTAGAAAGAAAAAACGCACGATTCGATAATTCCGAATAGTCCTACCGGTCCTGTTCTGTGAGGAAACAAACAGCTGTCTTAATAGCATTAGTGATTAAACGACTGAGAGGAGAGCATACGAACACGTCTAAACGAAACACAAACAGGGCCGTACGCATTTACATTACTCCTCACGGATAGGTGTTTCATCTTTCGTTTGTCGTCTGCCGCCTTTCGTTGCTCGACAGGATTCTCTACGAGGCTACGCTGTGCCATTGACCATGTCCTCGGTGCCCTCGTCATCACGAGGACCGTTTCCCTCCGTGTAGTCTTCAATCTGCAGTTATGCTGTTGCTCGACGACGGCAATTAAGCACAGCAGTCTATTGAGATGCGATTGAGAGCGTTGACCTGTGAATCGCTGTGGTGCGGTACAAGCACGTCTAGTGATCAGATAGCAAAATAAATTTAAAAAAATCACGCCACCGTTCTGTTCTACAAGAGGGAGCAACTAATCAACAACTGCTGGTTGAGAGAGAAACAGTTCAACTCGGAAGTTTTGTAAATATCGTTCTTTTGTCCTTGCATCGTTTCTGTGCTTCTTCGTTTAGCGTGCCTCCTTGTTGTTGCGTGCTTCAAGAGTGTCTGTGTACGTGTATGGTGTGCGTGACATCGATGTGACATTGTGAGTAACAGGTGATAAAAAGTGGAGTGTGAAACTACATGCGTCGTTTGCCCGGTCCTGATTCACGTTCAAGACTACGGCCATGGTCCGTTTGGAGGCAGTGCAAGCAGTTCCATCAACAGCAGTTATTAAATCTGTAATACTAGTTGTCGTAGAAGTTTCTGATGGCGGCTTTCTGGCCTATACCAGCAGTGTAAGAAACTAAGCTAAGTGATCCGGTAACTGTGTGACGACGGAAATGCGAGAGTGTACAGTATCACAATAATCAATACACACATCTCTTGAATTTCTGACACTTCCTTCGTGAGGCTGTGTGAATTTACGTGGGTGCTTGTCCACAAAGATTTCTCTACTTCGTTTACCATTCACCTTCCGTGGTGCCGCCTCGAAATCCTATTGCGAAACCCCCCGCAGCTCGCGGGGGTCCTCTGGCCGCTGCGTGCACGATGAAGATGGTGCACTGCGCGGGCTGCGAACGGCCCATTCTCGATCGTTTTTTATTGCACGTATTGGACCGGTCATGGCACGCCAAGTGTGTGCAGTGCTCTGACTGTCGATGTAGCCTCAGTGAAAAGTGCTTTTCGCGTGATGGCAAACTTTTCTGTCGGAATGACTTCTATAAGTAAGTAGTAATCGACCTTATCTTAAATACGCATACGTATTGGGGCATTTGCAGGTGGATTAGAAATCATTGATCCAAATCTTTACGTTTAGTACTACTGCTACCTTAGAAAAGCATCACTGCTTCAACTGGCTGGCTCCTGCCAACATAAAGCGAAGTACGTTTCCACGGCTTCGAACCTAGACTACCTCACGTCTCATTAGGTTTAGTAGGCTAACAGTTACCTATACCATCAAAGCAAACGTTAGCTTTATAACAAGAGTAAAGTTCTAAACGAAAACAAATGTGCGAGATGACACAAGATACGCCTTCCACCCCGGACGATATTCGATCAACAATGAATCCCGCCTCTAGTCCATTTTTCAAGAAATATACACTTACTTATCTTCGCGCCAACCTTTTTCTAGTTGCTCCTGAGGTGCAATAGGCGTTATTCAGTAGTTGTTCGTATATTATCGTTAGATGCGGGGGCAACTGTTCGAAAATCGAGGATTACAAGCGAAAAGACAGACACATATACATACAGATGGGATAAATAGAGTTAACAGCAAAAACTTAGCGACATCAGCTCCAAAACAAGTTTTCAAGCAGAAAATGTGATCCGTCAACAAGAGCACATTAACTAACCGTAATAATCCCACTTTGATACGTTCGAATTTGCATGACAGTACCTGTTACGGTATGTAGATGGCATACTGCGTGTATTCACGGTCTAAAGCGTTCGCAGTAGCGGAACTTGATCGGTAAAGGCGTTCACCGAGCTGAAAGCCCGAACATATCGTTGAGACCCTTGCTGTTTTATCAGTGACGCGGCGTTAGTGGTTTTAAGTAAAATGATCCATCGAATGAAGGGCCAACAAGGAACGATTGGCTTTAAAGGCCTTTGTGTAAGCTACTCGAAAGAATCGCGCACGGTTGTTCGATATGAACGTGTGTCCCTGCTTGTATGCGTATGTAGAATAATATAAGACCGTATGCTGTCTCTAAACATGATTCGTAAGGAGCGGCTTGGAAGATACTGAGAGCGCTTATTATACGGTCTGCGTGTACCGCGTTCAAATTTTGAGCGTGTAAATATTTTTCTGGACAATGCTTTTCAGCGCATTTAGGCTGCGAAATTTCTAATTAGCCTGTTCCATACCACCATGGTGCTATGGTTCGGCAAGGCTGTAACTGAGCGAATAACGTTTGATATACTATGCACCAAATGATATATCAAGCACCATCGAGCCGCTACAGACGAACAGTTGCACCAAAACATTGAGGAGCGACTTGAAGAAATATATTATACAGTCATATTTCCGTATACGAAAGATTGCTTTTGTAGTCGCAGATATGACGGTAACCGACCCTGAAACGTGTGTTCAAGTATATAGACATGTTGAAATGGAATTTACACAGATTGTGTAGTCTTCAAGAAGGGTTTACTAAACTTGTTACACCACTATATTGGATGGTACGAAGTAACACATTTCTGGTTGGCCTATCTTACGTGCTTAAAAAGAATGTGTCTTTTTCTAATCTTTATTACAAAGATCTTCTCCTGTACAATCAGAACAATTTAAACAGTTAACAGGAGTCCTTTTTTTGCTTTATTCATGCTCACAACTTTCAGCTTCTACCTTTTAACTTCGACTCTGAGTTATACAAAATTTTGGAGCTGCGAGCTTGCGCCATCAGTAGTTACCTTAGAGCTTCTATGTTGCACCGCATCATACGCGTACGTACCTGCTATAGTAGTAATTCATCGGTAAGCAGCTATATATCGGTACATTGTTGCCTTGTTGTTAGTTTTTCTTTTCGAGAAAAGACTGTTGTTTGATGGGAAGCGTTGCTTATCATAGCCCATTCCTTCGTTTCGGCTTGCTTTGATCCCTTCCAAGCAGCCGCTAATACTGCCAAAGGCAGTTGTTGAATCGGGAGTCAACAGAAGCCAAGTGGTTTTTAGTTTTTCAATTAAAGTTGTGTGTCAAGTGAGAAGTTCTCGTTGGAGAGTACCACTGCTGTAGGCTCGCCATAGCGCCCGCACACGGTAAATATCTAAATATATCCCTCTAAGTATATCGGTCGCAGCAAAGATAGCGAATACAATAACTGTAGTAGCAATGTCATCATATGGAGAAGTGCTTAATAACATAATTTAACGACACGGGATGGTAACCACAGAGCAAATGCTACTACGACACAGATACAACCATAACTTTTCTCAACTACTACCCTGCAGGCGAATAGTCCATGCAGGCAGGTTTCTGCTACCCGCTAAGCTCTGGATTGTTACTCTGCCAACGATCATGGTACACGTACTGCTGGTATTGAAGTTAACGCCGATCCCATCCCATATGGACCGTTGTTATCCTGACAAATAATTTGTACGGGCATAGACCTGCCGATCAAATATTACGGAACTATCGTTACTCGTAACCAATGCTCGTACCTATGAAACGTTACCCAAACAACACATACACACGCTTGAAAAAGGACGATGGCCATTATCGGGGTCGCCAACAGACACACGCACAGAAGTAGAACTGCTGTTATCAACCTGTAGGCCATTAAGAATCCAACAGGCGATAACCCAAATCTCCGTTATAGTACTAAGGATTATAGAGAAAGAAAAAGTGAAGCGACTTAGCAGGGCTTAAAAGTCTGTGGCAATATTATTCCATGTTTTTGCAGCTTGTATGTTATATATATACTGTCAGTGGGTTTATGTATATCTCTGTCTTTTTGTATATGCGCATATATCTGTTACTTTAATCGTCGTCAATGTCGTTTCTACGGTAAGTCCCCGGTCTGATAGACTCGCTTGCTTAACACCAAGCAGATGACTATGTCGGGCTTCGCTCGAACTGAACGCACGTTGCGTCTGCAACTGGGGACGTGTACATAAACACGGAATATATATGCACACATATATAGATCCCAGCACATATGATTTTGGCAGTGGTTGAAGCTTCCCGTGTGTCGTCTGTAGCCATATTTGCATGTAGGTAGTATTAGTAATAAAGGATGTGTGAACACATGTCAGTCTGCCAGTGGATATCGTTCATAATCTAGCTAATGATTGCTATTGACTATTGTTAGAATTTACTCAGTGCACACGTTGTTTTGATTAATGTTACAGTCCTGTTTTACGTAAGGAGCCTGGCAGTTTTTACTAGACGATTCAAGTATCTACTATACGATCACCGGCATGTTTGTCGGTGATCGTATAGTACAGATTGCTCGCGTATGCGGCTTCTTCTTTCGATCAGCAATCGTCCCTTGCAACCCGCAAATCTAAAATCCACTTTGATCTGTCGTCTGCTGTTTCATTCTTTGTGTTTGTGTACATGCGACTGTTACGCCAATGCGTATTCACATACGATGTACCCTATCCATCATATATAATACGGTGAGCTTGATTGCGCCCTCTCCTGCTAACGTTGCTGGTGGATTGTGGGCGGCAATCTTAAAAACACAATTGGATACAACATTACCTGCCTGTTCTTATGCTACTGCTTGCGCATCCTAATAACAGCTACGGCTATTGCGAAAGGATTGACGTTTGAATTGACGGGATACAATTGTTATTATTGCTTTCCATTTTCAATGAGAATGAACTCAAGATTGAAGAGCACCGTAGATGCACTCCCGATTGAGAGTAAGAACGATACCGAGAAAAACTCGGGTACTTTATAAACAAATGCGTAGGTATTTATACCATGTCTATGCCAGCTCGTATGGGTAAATATGCGGTAATACAAAAAAATATATGTAAATTGTGGTTTACTACAATTTACTTATATTTTTACTACAATGCAGGTAGGTTATAGGGATTAGTTATTTGCCTACATTTAGACTGAGCAACTATACCAAGGTATATCAAGTTCCCTTGTTGTCGACGTAGAAAGTTAAAAGGCTAAGTCTGTGTCGGTCAAATGGGCTGTTATACAAACGTTGTACAAATCCACGTCAGGTTTGGCTACCGAAGAGATAGACTCTATAACTGAAATGATAGACAATATGTATAAATCGCTAAAATGCAAATGTAACTTTACTTATCATATAATAGTTAATTCATGTTTGGCTTTTGAAGTTATGTATTAGAACGCATAAGCTCACTGTTAGAAGTAAGTGTGTTTATAATAACAAATTTAGATCGTATAGCATGGATTTATAAGACGGTTACTCTAATTTAATTATTCTAACAACAGCACTGCCATCGACAAGTAATTAGTGCACCTAGTAATCATAAATATACGTTATTTCACGTACGTAATATTATATCAAGTGATATTCTTCTCCTTCAAATGCCTATTAAAATATCTACGACAAAAACCTAGCTGTTTCTGATAAATTTTCGAGTTTTTTTTTTAAATCTAAACCGTATTAGATTTTTAAAAAACTAATAAAAATTAACGGCTGGCTCTATTGAAGTCAAAATTTGCAGAAGTTATATGAAAACTGGCAATAGTATGGACCATCAACATTGAGCAAATAAAGCTCTTAATCTTGATGGAGGTTTGTTCAGCGTCGAAAGTAACCGATCCTTCCCCAAATTTCAAAAACGGCGCCATAATGAGTTTTTTTTCTGCGTGAAAAGACTAACCTCATGTCCAGGTGGTACCAAGAATAGCGGATGAGCGCATGTCCGCTACTACAAATAGTCCGCTAACGTTCATTTAAATACTTATTATATACTTTTCACTGGAATAAAGTTCAAAATGGGTCATCAATATGAACTATGAATCTATTGTATAGATTATTATAGTTATCCGTTTATAGCGTCCTGTAATCGCCTGTGACGTACTGAGTGACTTAACAATATCCGTCACGTTATAACACGTTTCAGTTTGTTACTATCCTACGGTCTATATTAGCCGTGACCGTTAACGCCGCAGCTACTGCAGCATCTGTTGACAGAATTTAGCTACAATGGTGGCGTTCTGATGGCGATAAAAGTGATCTGGTAGAAGTCGTCTTCTAAACATAGACCATATTTCCCGTTAGCTTTTTCT